ATATTTAATGTTTCATACTTCTCTTACGTCTTGTACACTAGGCTTTCAGTACATTTTACTGGAGTAATGCAAGTGCTTAACTGAAACATACTTAGAACTCCTAATTATCTGCCACAAATTCTTTGCACCATCTGAAGAATGAAGAATAAAGTTGTATATGAAACCAACTAGGAACATGTACCTTGCAAACAAACTTAGTCAGTACATGAAGGGATCTAAAGGATTTTTGGTTGTGATGTACCAGCACAGTATTTATTTTTGCTGTTGTTAGCCATCATGAATGGCTTAAAGTGCCTGGTTGGCATCTTTCCAACTCTGATTAGCAGTTCCCATTTGAAACAGCTTTGCAGATGTCCACAAATACTGCTGATCAATCCTCTTTGCACAGGCATCCTTTACTGTGCATGTCACAAGGTTTTTGGTGACTTACATTTAAAATTTGACTAAACTACTTTTTGTTTATGTTATACCAATTAGTATAGCATAAAATCATAGCTAGTAATACATATTTTATTAGTATATAAGTTTTAAGTTCTTAATTTTATAAGGCAATATTAAAAAATCTTGAATTTTCCTTAGTGTGAGAAATGTGACATTTTTTATCTAGGCATTTCCTCTTCTTTAATTTATTCACCACTGCTCCAATAAGTACAAATTTTAACTTATCTTACTCACTATAAAATCTTCAGTGCTCAGACAAACTATAATCTTTATACCCTTTAATCTTTTTTTTTTTTTTGGTTACGGAGCCATCAAATAGAAAATCAGACCCCTCTTGCCACACCCACCTGTCACATCCTCTGTTTTAAGGCCTTGATAATAGTTCTCTCTTATGTTTGATAATATATCATTTATAACCAATAGAAAGACAAGGTTTTCATTTATCAAACGACATATTATATGACACTGTTTTCTGTACAGAGAATTGTCAATTTCTCATTTAGTACAAGCTTTGTTCCCATGGGAAACATATCGACTAGCTTGGATGAATTTGTAACGGCTCTTGTCACATAGTTAGAAAGCCAGAAAATTTATGATAGTTATAGGACATTGTCTGCTTTTTGCATGTTATTATTCTATATTCTTTGGTGCATTGTTTAATTAAATAAAAATTATTTAGTGCACTACTACCATTAGTATAAAAAAATAGGGTTAAGTGTCATTGACAGTCGAGAGCAAAAAAGAAAGTACAGGTGAGTACTTTATTTCTTGTTTTTCATGTTTATTCTTTATTTATTATTATAAAAGTAACTAAAACGTAAAGATGGGAATCTTTAGGTTAGTTAAGGTTATATTAGGTAAAATACATAATAATAATATAATTTTGTAACAAGGCACACAGGGATAGG